AGAGCTGAGGCATTAAAAAGCGTCTCGGTATTTATAGGGCTATGTATGGGGAAAGGTCAAGGCCTTGAGGAAGCACACCATTTGAAAAACAAAGTATAGAGAACATCAGCAATTTTCTCTGAAAAGTCGGATACTTGTTCCACCTTTTGTCCCCCACTGAAGGAGCAATTTTCTCTATCACGTACGAGGTAGCAGTGTCCTATTCGCCCTTCTAAATAGAGGAGAAAGGTGCTGAAATATGAGGTTTATCTTCAGCATCCTTCCCCTGCCCCATTTAGCACCCTTCTGCCATCTCTTGGAAACCCCTGAATCTCTAGGACCATGTTGGTGTTCCATGACATGATCTTTTTTCTCACCTTCCTCATGCTCACATTTTCTTCCGTCCCGTTCTGCTGAAGGAGCTTATGATACAGAGGAAGAGGAGAAGCTCTGGACTTAAAATCAGAGATCCTGAGTTAGAGTGGTTTAACCAAAGATGGGGTCCAAGCATCAATATTTCTGAATGCTTTCCATGCATGTTGAGATGCAGCTCGGCTTGAGAATTAGCATGATGTTAACTGATGTTGATAATACTCAGCTAAGACTTCTGCTAGAAAACAAGTACATAAACTCTTACTTTCCCTCAATATGAGTCAACTATGCTACGCAGCCTGAGGAATAAGTGTCCAAGGATGAATATTAGTGCTTCATGTCAGGTCATTGGGAAGCTACCTACATGTTAGTGAGTCTTGTGAACATTCTCAGATCTGCTACTCCATCTACCCAGCAACTGGTCCTAATTCAGAAAACACTTGTACTACTCCTATCACCCATAGAAACTCAAAGAACCATTTGAGAGGTAGCTAATGACTATATAAATTTGCTGGTATTGTGTCTTATCAATAGGAACCAATCCAGGCAAATATATTACTGAGCCTCTTCTGGAGAACAGCTGCTTTCTCCAAACAAAGTGTAGGCTTCCAGCCAATCATTTGGATCATGTTCATTAAGAAAAACAAAATTCTCTCACCTTCACCTGCAGACTGAGACTCCTTGTTATGATTTACAAATATGATTTCACATATGGCCTGGGACTTTCTTTTGGTGCCTCACCAAAATATATTAAATAATATATTAATACTGATATCTGAGTGTGGCTTCTGGAAAACTATATTATTGAAAAGTTCTTTGTGTAAAAATGTATCATTCAGTAAATAGAATTTGGATAACTGAGAAACTCTGAGGGAAAAAAAGTAAGTTGAGTCCATACCCCCCATATTAAAACAGGGTGAAGTCAAATGGATCACAAACTAAAAAGTAAAGTAAATAAAGATAACCACAAATGAACAAGAAATAAACTATGTGAGAATTCTTTTACCATCTTAGAATTGAAACAGCTATAATCTAGGAAGAGATTGATTCAGCAATATAAAATATTTTAACATATTATAAAAGCTGTTGAGATAGATGATAGGTAGTAGATGATAGATGATCGATAGATGATAGATAGATGATAGATAGACGATAGACAATAGATAGATAGATAGATAGATGATAGATAGATAGATGATAGATACATAGATAGATGATGATTGATAGATAGAAAGATAGATAGATAGATGATAGATAGATAGATGATACATACATAGATAGATGATGATATAGATAGATGGATAGATGATAGATAGATAAACAGATAGATAGAGACAGATCAACCATAAGAAAAGTCAAAGGATAACAAATTGGGGGGAAAAGTTAATTTATATGACATTTAAAAATCTGATCTTCCTAATGTAAAGTATTCCAACAAATTATTAAGAAAAAGACCAAAAACCCAAAAGAAAAATAAGCAAAAGATTAGAATAGTTTACAGGACAAGAATAGTAAATGGCTCATAAATGAAACATATGAACATATTTTTATTTTTCATACCAAAAACATAAATTAAAAATACACTGAAATGTCTTTTCACAGTTCAGAATGGAAAAAATTCCAAAGTTTGATAACACACTCTCATTGAACAAGGTGTCGAGAACTACCTTGTTCACTCATGTAGAGTGTAAATTACATATCTGTGGAGGACAAATAAGCAATGCTATCAAAATTGCAAGTGGTCATGTCATTTGACCTAACCACTCTCTTCTCTATAGACAGAACTTCATGCATATGAAAAGGCATATGTACAGTTATTTATGTGACAATTTTTCTTATAGTAAAATATTAAAAAAATAACCCAAATGTCTATCAAAAGGGGTCTATTTTATTAAATTATGGCTTATCTACTCAGTGGAGTGCTTGGTGGCCATACAATAAGGCTGCGGAAGTTGCTTTCAGTACTGACATTTATTGATGTCTAAGGGAACAAATGAAAGTACAGCACAGTCTGTATATTATTGTACTGTTTGATTTTTTTTTTTTTGAGCTAAGGGCAGGATCACTGATTTTTCTTGCTATCTGATCTCTCAGTTTCATATAATGACTGTCAAAAATGTTTATCCAATATTCCCTACCTAAATTGAAACCGCTGTAATGAATCCACATGCAAGCACCAATAAACATGGTGCCTGATTCCAGGCAAGACTAGAGTGAGTTTCCATTATTTCTCAGGTGTTCTCTAGATAAAACTGAGTCTCTGCCGATGTTGTCCAACCAAATTCTGTGTTATCATTATCTTCCCCATACCGTAAGTAAAGATAGCTCCTAAAATTGGAAAAGGAGAAAATAGGTGAGCCTGAGGTAGGGAAAAGCTCATACATAAGAAAAAAGTTTGAATGATAAAGCAAATTGAGAGAGGGTATCTCAGCAAAAGACAGATTCTGATTGACTAGATTTGGGTTTGGGTATGAGATTGGGCATTTCTAACAAGCTCTTAGGTGATGCTGATGCTGCTAGTTCATGGATCATATTTTGAATAAATGTTATCACTGCACATTGCACACAAATATACTAGTTAATGTGTTCGTTAAGTGTTAGACATTTTGGTTCTTGATATTTTATAGTGCAGATATCTTTGGTGAATTACTATATAACAACTGGAGAAATAAGTTGGGAGTTTCTGATTGCCTGGAACATACTCTTTTTTTCCTTTTAAAAATAATGGATTATAAGCTCCAACTATCCAAAAACTTGTAATCCAGCAGGTTTTCAGAAATTCCTATGTGTACTCATGCATGTGTGGGTATTAGTTTCTATGTGCATAAAAGAATTCTGGATGTCTCTGGGAGAATAAGAATTTTAACATTGAGTAGATGGGGAGCATAATGTTCATCAGTTCAATAGTGCTCAGACTTCATTATATTTCCTTTTGTGCCCTTTGAATTTGAATCAGATAAATACATTATTTATTATTAAATAATTTTTTTAATTCCCCTCCTAAAACTGATGACCTCTTGAAGTTGAATGGAAAGAAAGGAGAATTTATGCAGGTCTAAATACACAGAAAGCTTTTCCAGGAAAGACATGGTGCTAAACTCATCCTGACAAGCTTGGATTAGTTTAAATATACACACAGAAGCAAATAAATGTGCAATGCTTGTATCATCAGTGAATGAGAGTTTTCCATTTTTCTGATAGCTTTTTTTAAAAAAAATACTTATTAAAATTATGCATAAACATGATTTGAAAATCACTTCATGGAGTAGGACATAATAAAAAAAAATAGTACCCAATTCACTATCTATACCTCTAGGAGGGGTCCACAGGGAAAATCATTTTTTGTATTTTCCCCATGATTATGTTCATGTTGACAAGTAGTGTGTTTATACTATTTATGAATTCAGGAATTTTATGCATTAACCATCCACTCTCTGCTATAATGGATAAAGATTTAGCTCACCATCACCCCCAATCTTCACCTACCGTCCACTTAAAATAGTTTTATCACTTTTTTTAGGCTTTTCATAACTGTAAATAATGTTTCTTCTTTATTTCTTATCCTATCAACTAATAGGTGTCTCTTGACTCAGCACTCTGTATTATGAGAACATTCCTGCCCTTTTCCTTACTTTTAGTTCTCTCTCCACTTTTTCCCTTTCAAACACTGTCATCTGCCAAGGTGATAACATTTACATTCTGTTTTTAATCACAAACACATAAGCCATATTTTATCCTAAAAGGCTTATCCTACATGTTGAAAATCTAAGGCAGTGACTATGTAATTATGACCACAAAACTATTTTTCATCCTACCCAAATAGTATAATATGATTCTTTTTTCTTATACAGCTTTTTACTTTTCCTAGAGGTCCTAACTGGTTTCTTATTTTCTTTCCATTATTTAACTTTTTCATAATTTTAAGAACTCAAGATTTTTCCCTAATATATTCATTTTTCCTCTGTAATATCAAGCCATATTTTTCCAGTGTCTCTTTCTTCCCAGAGCATTCCATTTTCTGCTGCCATTTGTATGGCAGTCCAGGCTTGCTAACACAATTATCTTCCTAATCTTCCCTTCTTTGCTGTCCTGGGTTGCATCCCTGCGCAGTCATTTGACATGAAGGGAAGCTCTTGGCCAACACATCCCTGCAGCAACCATAAAGAGACACTCTTCAGCTCAACAAGGGAAACTTGAGGTTTCCCTCAAGGAAAGGGAAGGGGACTAATAGCAAAAGTCAAAATACAGTATTCTACACTCCTCTTTTGCATGCCTCCAGAGTAGCAATCTGCCTTTTCAAGAAGTTCCCTAAGCTGATGAATCAAATAAGGCAATTTGGAAGTTGACTTTAATTTAGTTTTTTAATTCATGCCAGTTATGATTCATTCTGTTTCATACTGAAATATTGTACTTTATTTTTCTTTCAAGAACTATTTGACAGACACTAAATAGAACCTTTTTTTATAACAAAGAATGCTTAATTGTCAAAGGAGTTAAAATATCGTACATAGACTAATGACTAAGATTTTACTATATTTTACTGAGATGCTCTGATTCTGTTTCCTTAATAATGACCTATTCTTTTAGAGTCTACTTCTTGTGAGCCTGTAAGACAGGGTAGGGAAGGAGGTCTGTGATTACTCACCAACCTGATTAACTTTTTTCTCTTTTTGACAAAGTATTGTGTCATGGTTATGTACAGCTCCGATTCCACTTAAATATCTGTGTGACAAATACTCTGCAGAGGAAAAAGAATAGGACTTGAGTAATGTGACTAATTCAGCATACATAATTTGTTAATGCAGTTAGTGCTGATTCAGAACTATGAAATTCTTAGTGGAATGCATAAAGAAGGGAGAATCTAAATTTTACTTTTCTTATGAAGGTTCAATTTAGACCAAATTCTAACCTTTGATACAGAGATCAATATCTTGAAGACATTTAATGTGCAAATGGCTTATTTTATTCATCTCCATTTTTAAAATCTGACCTAGGAAGTTTAATTTGTTTATCGAGCTCACTGTCCTGTCTTGTACTTTTGCTCAATGAATATTTAATAAATGCTTAGTATTTATAGTTTCCTCCTACTAACCTGGCCCAGTGCTAGATTCTTGAAGGAATCAGAATAATTAAAATACCAATACCTCACTCCAAGTATCTGGTAATATAGATAGAGACATAAGAAATGTAAATATGAAACAAAAAATATTCAAAACAGTTAATCAAGGGCTACATTGTGCAGCACAAAGAATTGAGTGATATTTAGAGACATCTGAAGAAAAGAGAAACAAAGATTGGAGCATCCATGGAAGTCTTAGTGAACAGAGATAGGATTATACAGTTACCTATGGGTTATTTTGATGCAAACATTTCAAGCCAAATTGTTGACTACGAAACAGAAAATTTTCTGCTGCATCTGGAACATTATTTAACTTCTTGGGTATGTTTTCTTTCTCTCTGTGTGATGGGAATAAGATAAAAAGATTAATGCTTGCTTTTGAAAGTTGACTCTAAATGTCAACATTTGCGTGTGTTTGACTTTGAATAGAGCTTACCATTCTAACTAAAATTCATGCAAGTAAAATTCTTTATTCTTTGCAAGTAACTTGAACTCCGAAGGCATTATCATTTTGGAAGATGTGTTAATACTATCTTATGACCAACCTTACTGCAATGGAGAAAACATCACTCAACTCAATCTGGGCAAGTTTATTTTAAACACTAATCCTGTGGCCAAGAATTTATGATACAGGAATATTTCACTTAAGAGGTATTTCCTTAAAACCTGAAAACCGTAAAGCAGAAGTATTAAGTTAAGCCATAGGAAACTGCCAGTTGTCTAGGTCAAAATAACAGTAATTGTATATGATTCATTGTAGAGCATGAGACTCCTTTCCATCTGGTTCTTCTGGTAGACACTACCTATAGCCACTATCTATAGACTTGCTCCCCCACCCCCAAATTCAACTTCTAAAGGAAAGACTACGTTTATTTCCAAAATCCTAATATTTAAAGTAGGAGGTAGACAAATCATCTCCAGGGCAGCCAAAACAGATAACTGACCTTTTCTAAATTCCAAGAAGTTTCTTTGAAGATTCCTTGGTGGATCTCTTACCTCAGCTAAGAATAACTAACATAACAATATGTGTATTTGGTGTTCAGTAAATTGAATGATGATGCCTTATTCTAGAACCCTTTTGGACATTCATATAAGAAATAAGGAAAAGAGGACAGAGAGACATGCTTGTCAGCCTTGACCCAAAGCTCTTAAGACAAAGAGGAATAATATACTGAGGTCTGTTCAAGCTTTGGCCTCTCCACAGATCATGACAACCAAGATGCCAATTAACACTAAATGTGACGGTGGCTTTTGTGACGTGGACAGCTGGCCACTCAAAGATACACAGGACCACCTGCTCATATAACATAGGCCACCAAACAGGCACCAGATGGTGACAACATTTGAATGTTATTACTATAGTCACTTTCACCTCGGATCTATTTGAGCTGGACATTAGGAGGCAGGGCTGTAAAATTCACATCTGATTTTCAGAACAATATGGTTCTCTATAAATCTCACATGTATGACTTACTAGAGGCCAAAGACTCATTCCTGGGCATTGGTGGCTCAGCAAAAGTTCTGCATCGTGAGGCAACTAGAAGCAATTGGCTGAACCAAGACATACTACACCTGCTGAGATGTCCTTATGGAAAGCTTGGAGAGGAAAAATGTAGAAAAATCAGCTACAGGAAAAGACTCGAGTGTGGTGATGGAGCTGGGGGTTGGGAAAAAAGTAAAAAATGGTTGTCAGAAGAGGCAAGTGCCAAAGCAGCAAGAGGAGCCAAGACATGCACATTTTTGGCTACATATCCCAAGCCCTTGAAAATTGCTTCTGGCTATACAGATTTTTAAGAAAAACCCTTCTAAAAACTTTTAGACAGGCTTATTGGCCACAAAAAAAGGTACAAATACAAATTTATCAATAAATGTGCACCAGGAGGTTGAGAGAACATTCAAAAGTTTAAATCACTTCCTAAAACTGAGGGAAATGTTCTGTTAAATTGGCTGATGCCCCAAGCATGGCAGAAGAGTTATAAAGTAGCTTCATTAACAATTCTGAAAACATAGTTTGTACTTTGGACAAAGAGCCATCCATGGTTGTGTTTCATGGGGCGGGGGGCGGCAGGGAATGGACCTGTGATAACACCTCCAAATCCTTAGTAAAGAAAATACATTGTCTAAGGAACGAGGGATCATATGTAAATTGCCTAGCAAATTACACAATAATCAAAAGACCATACAGATTTCACTAATGTTATTTATTCTGCATTATAGACTGAGGTAGTCTACTTATCTATGAAAAAAAATCCAATTTCCATTTCCCTAACAACTTCGATGAACCTTGTTGAAACAGCAGTCAGATGTCCAATATGATTTCCTGAATTTCAAAATGCAACTAACTTAGCAGGTGGTCCTAACTCTAAATCAAACTGTTAGGGCTTTTGGCGGGGCTCCTAGCTTAGGAAAATGGGGTCAGTATGAGAAAGATCCTGAAAAAAAAAAAGCTAGAAAAAGCAAAAGGTTAGAGCAAAGAAAAATATTAGTGAAATTTGACAAATGTATTTCTCAGTATTATGTCAAACATGTTTACTGAGCTGCACAATTAATAAAAAATATTCTGTACTAGAGGCCCTAATTATTATTCCACACAGGACAGAACACCTCTTCATTATCCCTTTTTGAATTGATTGTGTACATCAAACAGTCGAGATATAAATAAAATATGCCTGCATGCATAATAACCTCACATTAAAGCTGGAGGCAATTAACCTATGATTTCTCATTAATTAAATTAAAATAACCTTCTAAAAAATGTCTAAAATCAAAACAGATTTCTTTTAGTGTAGATATGCCTCACAATAATGAAGAGAGTTTGTTTACTAAATTTATCACACCAATAAAAAAAAAAAATGCTATTTCTGTTTTTATCCCAGGCTGGTCTTTGGTTTTCTCCTGAGGTTCCAGTCTCATTTAGCTAAATCTGATTACAATGTCAGGGTTTTTTTGTTTTTGTTTTTGCTTTTCTGTCTTTAAAAATACCTGTTCCCATCAAGACTTCTTTTCCATTAAATTGTCCAAGCACCTCCTTTCTCCCTGAGCTGGATCACTATCATATAGTGGAAAGCTGGAAATTATTTGGTGAATTTGCTGAATTTAGACAGCTGAAGCACATAAATGGGATAGCAGGGGGCGTAATGGGCCTGAATATGGGGCTGCCCTCAGCATGGATGGAAAATCCTCATAACCTCCTGTTCGGACTCTTCCCAATTTTTCTTCTCCTTCCCTAACTCCCCATTACACCAAGTTGTTGGTTATTTCAGATTCCCATAGTCTCCCCTCTACATAGTATTTTCATTCTAAAATAGACATAAAAGGACGCATATCACCAAAGAACAGGTCCTTAATAATAGAAATTTTTGTTTTGTTTTTCTCTAAAGTCCTTTGCAGATCCTCTAAAATCTCACTATATGAAGAGACCACATAGCCACAGATTACCCCCACCTAAAGCCTGCCCACCTTAGTACACGATCAGGTGCTAAAAATTTTCTTAAACATCATGCATTGATTGATCGATCTCTTCTCCAATGGGAAAATCATAGATATTCACCCTTTTTCTCATATCCTGAAAATCTGTCTGACACACTGCTTTCACCATGGTAAGTCCTCAATAAATGAGGTTGTGTTGAATTGAGCGTTAAGCCTGGATTCATTTCTTTCCCCCAAATCGCTCCCTATCTCAACCACCACAGGCTATTAGTGACAGCACTTGTCTTCTAGACCCCTGGATAAGAACTTTGGGACATCTTTTACTCTTTTGGCACCTTTTCTTAATTTTTGTATTGATTTCCTCATGAGGTGCTATCATTTCTTCCTTCAAAAGATTGGATTACTTCCTTTTCCTTGATTCTGACCACCACAGCCTAATATAGATCCTTATTATTTTGCCCTTATAAACCCACGCTTTCCCTAATTCTACTCACTTTCTCTAAATTATCTCTCTACGGGGCACCTGGGTGGCTCAGTCATTAAGCGTCTGCCTTCGGGTCAGGTAATGATCTCAGGGTCCTGGGATCCAGCCCCGCATCAGGCTCCCTGCTCAGTGGGAAGCCTGCTTCTCCCTCTCCCACTCCCCCTGCTTGTGTTCCTTCTCTCGCTTTGTCTCTCTCTGTCAAATAAATAAATAAAATCTTAAAAAAAAAGAAAAAAATAAATTATCCCTCTACAATGTGCATACCTATAGTCCTTAACAACAAATCTTACCTCAGCCTAGTTTTGCCTTGACCAACTCCTCACATACCTATGTCAGTTGCACATTGCACATTGTCTATTGCCTATCCAACAAATATCATCACCTTTCCCATGTGTTACCTGCTAGTAGAGCCCTGGATTTTGGTCCCTCCTCTGCTCTAGGATTGGTTTATACCAGCCAATGGCCTAGGGGGAGGCGTTTGTCCCTATTCTGACCAATGAGGTCTAAGAGAAAGTCAGGGCAAAGAAATGGCAGGGTGGGATGGTGGGAGATTTCCATTCCTGAATAAAATTGCAAAGCTTCATAAGGACAAAACATTATACCTCTGTCCCTTCTTTACTGCTTGGAATATTTATACCAGATTGTGATGCTTAGAGCTATGCCAACAGGTAATAATATTAGA